GAAAAAATATTAGTAATGTCTGGAGTATCTCCATGAATAAGGCAGTTAAGCTCAATAGTAGACATCTCTGGATCTATTATAAACAAGGAAAACGTTAATATTATTTAATTATAAAAATCGCATATATAAATTACATAACTTACATATTTTGAGACTAGAGTAATACAACGTTAACGAGAAACAAACTCAATAATAATGATGATGCCAATATAGGAAAATGTCGGAAATGCAAAAGAGCTTAATGAAAAACTTAAGTTAATTTTTGCATCCTGAAAAGGTTGGCTAGGCTTGTTTTAATATTACGTACCATAAGCCTAATAAACTATCCAAAAACAAGGAATATAAGGATGCCGATTAGGGTTGCTGCTATACAGTGTTGTACATGGACATATGTCCAAGCAAATTATTGGACATGGACGGTCCATGGACACAATGTCCAATGTCCATGTCCATGGACATGGACATATTTCTATATGTTCATAGATATGAACATCCATATTTTTATATGTCCATGGATATGAACATCCATATTTTTATATGTCCATGTCCATGGACGTCTATGTCCATGGACAGTCCATGGACATGTCCATGTCCATTGACAACACTGCCCGTACAGGAGTAGGTTGTTCTTCACCGAAGCTTTTGCTTAGTTCGCCAACAAAAACCTCTCTGCCCAGCTTAACCAGCTCCTCATACAGAACCAGTATATTTTTGACGCAGGGGAAGTAAAAAAGCTTGACGTCATGGAACGAAGAAGAAGCGAACTAAGCGTGAAGAAAAAAAAACAAAATGCGTAAAAACAACGCCAAATTTAAATTATTTTGACCATGACGTTACACCTGATCAATTTTTATTGGTGATCACCAGGGACGATGACTTTTGGTGATTAAGATTAAATTCTGTATGTCAATTCTGTGCAGTTCTGTGGTGTCATTTCTGTGATTTTATGTGACGTCAAAATTTTTCTAAACCATATAATTCTGCAATTCTCATGAACCCGCTCATAAATTTATTGTCCACCTACCCGTGATTTCCGGCTCCTGGCCTGAATTTCTAAAAAATATTTTAGAATTCTACGTATTTTTTAGAATTCTGTGATATTCTGCAGTGACTAAGAGTGATTTCTGTGGTTGGCTGTGATTAAAAGAATTTCTGTGGTTTTCTGTGAATCACAGAAAATCATCGTCCTTGAATACAGCAATAACATACTACAGTATTATTCAAAGTCGTCAGGTGTTTGGAAAAGGAAAAGTCAAATTTATGCCCAAAGAAATTAACTATCGATATAAAATAATAAATTTTATCAATATTAATTAGTTATAATAAATCTTTGTACTTAACAATTTTTCCAATAAATTTTTAATCGATTCAAATGTACTGTATCAGCAAATTGCAGCAGTATTAACATTTAAATTTTTTGACCATTTGTTTATTAGTAATACGATAATCATGTAGACGTTTTTAATTCATATTCTATATACCATCATCTTGCTTTGAAAAACTGTTGAGGCTTTATGAAGGGATTAAACGATTGACATTAAATGAATGTTATAAATATTGTTGACGAATTTAGTTTGTTATTGATGAAGTATGACACCAATAAACTTTAGTTTTAATAAATTTATCTATTTTTTTCGAAATAAAGTTTCCTAAAGTTTAAAAAGTTTAAAAAGTCTTTTTTTTTTGTAAATAACACTTATCCAATAATCAATAATTCTTCGCCTTCAAATTCATATTGGGGAATTTCAAGATTAAGTGGGGCAGGGCCTTTTCGAACTCTGCCAGATATATCATAATGGGAACCATGGCATGGGCAATACCAGCCTCCATAATCGCCAGCTTCACCGATTGGAACACAACCTGTAAAAGCAATATATATACATAAGTTCTAATATTTATTATTATATATCACACTAATATGTAATAATAATTCATTACCTAAATGTGTGCACACACCCTGTGATTATATGTAATTAAATTATCGGGAAATACATTATTAAACATTAAACATAATTGATAGTAACATAAAACTTACAAGCATAACTAGCCATTCAGGTTTTTTAACCCTGTCAGAATCATTCTGAGGATCTTTAAGTTCATTTAATTGAGTTGCATTCGCCTCAGAGATTTCATTAGCAGTTCTATGCCTAATAAAAACAGGTTTACCACGCCATTTTATAACAACGTTTTTACCCTCAGGAATCTTTGTTAAATCTACTTCAACTTTAGCCAAAGCCAAAACATCAGCAGATGCACTCATATTTGCGAGAAAATCTGTAATGGAATTTTTAGCACCAACAGCTGTCAAAGCGCCAGTAGTTCCAACCATCAAATAGGCAAATGTGCGACTAGAATTTTGATCGGAACTTTTTCGATATTTAGAAAAATCAGGGACTATAGTTGATTTACTAGAATTTACAGTGGCGGACGAAGAAGATAAGCGCTTCTGAAAATTAACAGTTGGGGCAGCTTAAAATTAATTGAATCGTTAGTTAGTAAGCAAATCGTAGAACATATAATAATAATCGTTAAGAATTAAGATGTTTCTATAAAATTGATATTAAGTTAAATAAACTGCTTACCATTCAAAGTGGTTTTCGAAAGGATCGAACCGTCAGACCGCCGCTTAGCGCCAACGGCCCAAGAGGGATTAGAAGAAACATGAATGTCACTGCGAAAGTTGCTGGAAGATTCAAATAAATTTTTAACGGCAACCGCAGCATACGGTGCATTAATAAAAGTGCGATTGAACGCAGCATTGGCAAGCCTCGGTGAGACAGCCATAGTTAATATGCACGAACGAAAAAGAGCGATGGAAATTTCACGAATGATAATTGAAAATTAATAAGTCCTGACCGGAATTACGTAAGTGTTAACAGGAATATTGCTTTGATAATCTACAATTTTACCATAACGATAACTGAGCATTATCAATGGTACGTCACACCGATAATGAAAAGATTTAATATGATATGCTCTACCAAAGTCAGAGATAATCAATAAATCATCCTTAACATTAATGACAATGATAATTAGACTTTGCATAATTCTTATATACTATTGTGACGTGAATCATGAGTTAAATGAATGAATGAATGACGTATCATACGAGTATATTTCATATTTCTTGACAAAATAAAAGTGTAAAGAAATGTTTCTCGAATGTTTTCTAAAAAAAATTAAAAAATATCAATGGGTCATAGTATGTTAAACATTAGATGTTTTTTCAAAGGAAATTTATTTGACTTTAATACTATTTTGGAAAATAATTCTTCATTTAAAATATCATAGTGAATTTAGAACAAGCTCAAACAATCTGCAAGGCTTCGGGATGTGATCGCCCAGTTTATGTCGAAAAAAATGGGTATATTCTTTATGTTTTTTAAAATAAGAGTTTGCATGATATATTACAGATTCTGTTTCTAACATTTTTGTAATTAGTCGTAAGCATCCTTATTGTGGAATAGCCTGCGCACGTTTTTTTGATACTAGCTTTCCTAATGGCCATCAAGAAAGAGACAATAAACCAATTCCTACTTTTCAACAAGCCATTTGCAAAATTTGGGAATGCAATAAACCTTGTTATATTGAACCATCTGGCATTCGTCATCCTTATTGTTCAAGAACATGTGCCAGAAAAGATTTCCAGAATCCTGTTTGGAATAATACTAACACTAAAAAAGATATGCGTAAATATACAGGATTTGAGAAAGAATTATTTTGGGATTACAATTAAACTCTTTTCTTTGAGAATAGCAGGAATTACTAAAAATATACAAGATTAAATTGTTGTATAACGATAATGAATAAAAAATTATATACAATATTATGTTATTTCAATACGTATTATCCGAATAAACTTTATTATTTGAAATTATATATTTTTATTAATAGTTAGATTTTACATAGTGTTTTTATATAAAATATATATATAGTATATATAAATTATTATACAATGCTATATGTTAGTTTGTAAGTTCTAAGGCAGAATTTTTATAAAAATTATAATAATTTTAATACAAACTAGCTTAATCTAAACAATAAACAGTAAGTACTTGATTTATTGGTCATGTTGTGGATGATAACTGATTATTAATGACGTGGCCGAAGATCACGTCATAACGATAATGCTATCTGCTGTGAATAAATCAGCGATTATCGGCCACAATTTGACCAATAATAAACTTATCCGACATGTCTGCGTAAACACCGAACGATTTTCGTGTATCTTATTCGGCCT